TGTCTGTCTGGCGAGCTCACACGCCCTATAGCAAAAACCTCTCCAAAAAAAAAAAAAAAAGAGAGAGAGCGTGAGAAAAAATAATAATAATTTGGGTTAATACCTTGCATATTACTCTTCATTATTTTAAGGTTTCTGCCATAGGGCATGTGTGCTCACTGGCTAGACACAGAGAAAGCAAAAGGGTAATCAAGAAAGCACCTCCCAGGGGGATGGCTATGCCACATCCCCTTCTCCTCCATCCTACTCCTGTGATTTTGGACACACATGCACATATGCCTGGCAAGATTTTCAAGAAGCCAGGTCTGGGACCCAATGGCAATTAGCCATTGAGGATTCCAGTGCCCCAACCACCACGTGACCTGCTAGCCCCCTGCATACTACTTTTTAAACTATTTTTTCACCATATATCGTGTACTTTTTAAAGTCAGTTACAGTAATATTATATGGTAAGTAATTTGCCAAAATGAAACCACTCTTTTACTGATTGATATTTAGCCCCATTTGCAATCTTCATCTTATAAAAATGCCACAGTGAAGACCTTTGTATACATATATCTTGGCAATCATGCCACTATTTCCCTAGGATAAATTCCTAGAAGTAAAATTACTGTGTCAAAGTAAATGTTCATTTCAAATTCATCCACATTGCCAAATTTCACCTGTTAAATTCATACACACACACACTCACATCTCACACATATGTATTTTTTTAGGGAGATATTTTTACTATTGGGCACGTGCACTTGCCAGAGAGACAGAGACAGAAAATGAGAAATCACTCCCCAGGGGAGATGGCCATGCTGCAATCCCTTCTCATCCATCTTACTCTTGGGATTGGGGCACACATGCAAAGGCACCTAGCATGAGTTTTAAGCTGCTGGGTCTGGAATTCCAACTGCAGTTGACTACATGGGAGTCCAGTGACATAACTATTATGCCATATCTGGTCCCACAAACATATGTATGTCTATGTTGTGCTCCCAAAATTTTAGACTTCTTTAATTATAAGTGAGATTAAACATCTTCTATTAGTTTTATTGACTATTTATGTTTTCCTTTATGTATACTGCTTTTCCCC